GAAGGACGCCAGCTTAGCAACTTCAAGTCCGATTTGGAGGCTTTGATTTCAACTCATCTGTCTTTCTCAAATCCTCCAGCTTTATACCTCTTTAAAGCAATAAGTGAGGTAACATTTCTAAGATCTTTTTCATGGTTCGACTATTTCTTTTTGAGGTAAGTGTTAGAGTCTAATTTTAGACACACTGGCATTTTGGATAATGGTCAGTTACTTTAGTTTAACCTGACAAATTGTGACCACCTTTGGATGAAATCCCAAGAGGATAAATTGTGATAGCTTTGGAAGTAGATCTTCGCATCATCCTTAGCTGTTAATGCCAATTTTGAAGGTTCTCCCTTTGTGGGTTCTCTCAGGGTACTCCAGCATCATAGTCCAAAGACATGCTTATCAAATTAATTGGTTACTCTGTGTGTTAGCGCTGTGATAAACTGACAGCCTATCCAGGATTCACCCTGTGTCTCCACCTATGACAGTTGGGGATACGCCCCATCTGCCCCTCATAATCCTGAATTGCATAAGTGGTTAAGAAAATGGGTGAATGGAAGTTAGCTAATTATCTCATCTGATTAGCTGCTTTCCCACTAAGTACAGCTGAATTAAGTATTTTAGAAGTGCCCCAGTGGTGTACGCATAATAGTCAAAATGTTGAGATTAAAAGTTCAGTGTTGTAAAACTTTAACTTCGCACCCTCAGCACTGGCATAGATATTAAACAGGTCTGATGAAAAATGTTCAAGTAAAATAAATAAATAAGTACGATTAATGCCCCACAACACAAAGTAATGGTCTAAAAACAGAAATGAATGAGTCGCATGTGTATTGCATGATCCCTTGAGTATTTCACAAACTGCTTGTGTTTGCATGGATAACAAGAGGAGATGTTTCCACTGAAATAGAAAATTATTTGATTAAAAACAAAAGAAAGAAAAAAATCATGAAAATCTGATCTGCTGCATTTTTTTTTGACTTTGAACATTGTTAGAAGTTATAAATTTTGATCTCATTTCACTTAACCTCTTGAGCTAGTGTGGACTGTCATGACACTGATACTATCCAGATGTGTGCTGGCTGAATTGTTTCGTAACATGATCTAGCCCTCCACCTGTTACCCAGGTAGCAGCAGTGGGTGCAAAGGCTTACACGATGGTTATGTGATCAAGGGTCAGCACCACAGAAGGCATCCACAACAGGTAAACTAAATCAGACATTTACAGGCAGCAGCCAGTTCCAGTAAATAGGCATGCAGCAATCAGCAACTGGAGCTAACAGGCTGCAAGAAACCAATCGAGCAAACTCCTAAAAGGGTTAACGAGCACAAAAGAACGATGTGGTTGTGTGTGTGTGTGGGGGGGGAATCTTGGAGCCACTGACAACTGGGAACTAGTGTTTTGAAGAGTGATGTAGTCAGGTTAAGAGAACAGGAGGGAAAGCCCGAGGACATCTGGCAAACAGCTGCAAGGCAGGTCTGCGGAAACATGAGCAGCGGGCCTGTTGCCAGCAGAGCTGCAGACTGTGACATTAATAGTGGAAGCAGTAGCACTTAACACTTTTAATAACAAAAGATGGCCTCAGCTGTTTGGCAATAGATCAGACAGAGGTCATGCCTTCTTAATTATAAATGTGAGACTTTCACTGAGCTTGAAGGAAGTTCACATTTGAAAACACATACATTTGTCATCTCTGATTCCAAGACTCTTGGGCTCATTGTATGCAAGTATGACTAGTTTAGAGCTAAATAAACAAGCTATAATGATTTTAAATGATTTACATTATTCTTTGCAGGAGCAGATATGCAAAATCTATGAAAAATGTATTTAAAGATGCTTTCACACTTGACCTTCAGACACTTTTTGATGATTCATGTGGGACTGGAAATACTGCTTATATATTGTGTGCAGCAGGCACATGATGCACACACTGGACTGCTATATCGGTTGCTGTATTCACACATTTGACATGGACTTTGTATAGGGGAGCTGGTTAGGGTAAAGAGTGGCTAGTGCCTGATCTGACATCTCTGTCGGGTAAGTCCCAGAAAAGGTCGGGCTGCAGTGCCTGTGTGAAAACAGCTTAATTTAGTTTTGGTTTTAAGAGGATTTCTATAAAGGACCTGCTCCAGCTGCTGCTCCAAGAATATATAATTGAACAGGTAATGCACACCTCATTATCAATATGTCATTATTTTTTGTGGACCAGGGAAAACTATTCTATTCACAAGCTGTTATGAATATTTTCTTATATTTTCAATATTTTCTTCTTTAATCAAGCAGTTTAATGAAGTTTGGACTTTTATAGACAGGATCATAAGACCTATGAATGAGCTTTAAGGCACTCACCTGTAAATTGTGTACTCGTTTGTTGGTCCTGAGTGAGGGTCGCTGGCATTCCGCTTTCCAAAGTTGCCTGTCCACAAAATAGTGTCATTTAGGATTACGATGGCCGACAAGGCAGGAAGGCTGATAGGGTTGATGGTCTGCCGAAGCAAAACGTCCACCTGGGTGAGAC